TCTTTTGCCCCATTTCTGCATTTGTCTCTGAATTCAAAATGTCCTCCTCCAATTTTCCACATCCTTTCTTGGAATACAAACTAACAGGACAAGTTAAAAAGGAAAAAAAAGAAGAACTAGAGGAAGAAAAGAAAGGAGAAGTTGTGTCTGTGACCCTGGGAGCCTTCAACTGTCATAAATATGAGACACTTGCCAAGCATCTGAATGTGAATCAGAACAGGGGGATGCTTCGTCGGTCATAAGTGTGAAAAATGCTCATCAATTGCTTTTTTCAGTGCCCTTGTAAGTTTGAACAGTCACTAAATGAACTGTTGGAAGTTGAAGACTACCTATTAAGTGGTGCTTTGATCACACAATACTGGTCATCAAATTAACTTTTTTGGACACTTCCTGCAGGTGTGTGTGTGTGTGTGTGTGTGTGTGTGTGACCGAGAGAGAGAGAGAGAGAGAGAGAGAGAGAGAGTAAGAGAGAAAGAGAAAGAAAGAGAAAACGAGTGAGAAAGAGAGAGAAAGAGTGAAAGAAAAAGAAAGAGAGATTGAGAAAGAGAGAAAGAAAAAAGAGTGAGAAAGAGAAAGAAAGAGAGACAGAAAGAGAGAGAGAGAGAGAGAGAGAGAGAAATAGAGAGACAGAATGCTAATGGGCCATTAGCAAAGGAATTTGTAAAACTTTCTCAGTTCCTTTTAAAGTCCTTTCCCACCCTTCTTGTTAAAAAAACTTTAATCAAGATTACTTTCAGAGAGATTTTTTTTTTAAATGCTGATATGCAACAGTGACACCATATGGCAGAAAAGTTCGCATGGATTTGTTCATGAAAAAAGCAGAAACAGATTGTTGGATCTGAGAATGTTTAAAGCAATGTACACACAACTTCACATCTTTCCCCCCAAGGAGAAAACAAGCATGCAAATTTAAACGTCTGGACCAAATTGTAACATTATAAAAGCCAAGCTTCGCTGTTGCTTTGGCCAGCAGAAAGAACACAACTACACAGACACACAAATATACACATAAGCACATACACCAGTGTGTCTCTTCCCACCTACCCTATTATTAGCTGTCTTCCTTTGTGATCTGGAGGGTTTCACGATAGATCTATATAATTTTGTTTTTTTAAAAAATCATAAAAGCTACACATTTTATATCTGGCATCAAAATAGCAATACCAATAGGATTTAGACTTCTACACCACTTCACAGTGCTTTACAGCCCCCTCTAAGTGGTTTACAAAGTCAGCCTCTTACCCCCAACAATCTGGGGTCCTTGTTTTACTGACCTCGGATGGACGGAAGGCTGAGTCAACCTTGAGCCGGTCAAGATTGAACTGCTAGCTGTCGGCAGAATTAGCTTGCAAAGCTGCATTCTAACCACTGCACAGCCACAGCTCTAAAGATGAAAATATTTATTATGTGATAAGCTTGTTTATAAAATGCATCTACGGGTCAATTTTAAGTTCTTCAGATGATAGAGTGGTTGCACAAATTAATATCTGTTTCTGCCCAACCAGGATGCTTGGGTGAATTTTTGAAGCTAACTCTGGTTCCAGAGGTGGGATTCAGCTGGTTCTGACCAGTTCTGAGGAACTGGTAACGGAAATTTTGAGTAGTTTGGAGAACTGGCCAATCCCACCCCTGACTGGCCCCGCCAATCCCATCTCTTCTCTGCCCCCCGAGTCCCAGGTGATCGGCTGGGTCTTCTTTGGTGGCCCTGCCCTGGAGAACGGAGCTGGAAAGCAGGTTAGTGGGGTGGGGAGGGAAGGGGGATTTTGCAGTAACCTTCCCCTGCCACACCCACCAAGCCACCAGGCCACTCCCATAGAACCAGTAGTGAAAACATTTGAATCCCAACACTGTCTGGTTTGAAATAATTATCTCCAGCAAAATCCTTTGGAGGCTAGCCTTCAAGAGCAGACACTCCCAGCGGGTTTAGGCGTATTACAAAGAGCTGAAGAGTTTCAATATTTTCACTCAGCAATTAATGGTACCCCTTGTGTAAACACAACCAGGAGCTTCAGGCATTTGGTAGGAGATCTAGAGTTTAATTCCCGCCGCAGAGTGGAGGTCACACCTTGTTAAACATGCAAATTGCAAACCAAATTTCAAGGACCATTCTTGCTTGCTTCATCAGCCTTTCATTCACAAAGCTCTGCCCTCTTCCTCCACCCGAACTACAGATATTTGCCACTATTGCAAATAAATGATTTTAGCAGTGTCCTATTTTTCTAGTTTGCATATTGGGGTGTGCCCTGGGCATTTGTACGGTCGCCCGAAAATCCATTTAGCAATCTTGGTTGCTTATCAGTCAAGGAGAAAGCTACTTGTTACTTAAAGATCGGTTACTTAAAGATTCTTTTCTACTTGTTACTTAAAGATTCTTTTTTTTAGGAACTTCCTTTGTTTTGTAAGCTTTTACTCTACGGCACCAATGTAAAGGAAGGATAATTGGGGTCCAGGGACAACACATCTGTGTGATTCACAGGCAAATCTTCTTTATCTTCTTCCCACAATGGAAGAATTAAAAGAGCCATCACCATCAAGCCCAGGATGAGAATTTCAACCAAGACTGGGTGTGAGGAGCCCTCTTCCCAAAGGGCTCTTGAGAAAATTGCAGGACGAAAAATAATAATAATAATAACTAGAAAAAGAGAATGCAAACATACAAAGAAGTAAATAGCGAAGGGTTTCTATAGAATTTGTGAGAGAGTCACCAAAATTATGATACAGGCAGATGCAGGTAATAGTGTTTAATGAATTCAGCAGCATTCATCATTCTCTAGTTAAAAATCGGTATAAAAAATACATTATTTTTATGAAAAACATACTTCTCCTATATTCTTTGGAACACACAGAAAAAGTCAAGATGAGGGTTATGAAATTAGAGACCTATCCTTTTTCTAAAAGGATATCCTTAGCTCCACTTAAAAAAGCAATAGCATTAGAAGAAGGAAAAGAGAGAGAGAGAAAAACAACTTATAGTAAGAAACCAGACATTAACATCTTTTAAGTGAATAAAAATTAAATACCCATCCAGGAAAGCTGCATTAAAATAAAAACAGACCAGATTTTACCCTGACTTCCACATCAGTACCCTATAATTTTGATTACCTCACATTCTTCCCTTCTCTGAAAAACTTACTATGTGAGAGCAGCATTCGGTAAAGGAAGAAAAACCTCAATAAAAGGTATTTTAAGTCTCTGGGCACATTTTTTTTTATTGTCTGGGGTCAATCTGCTTTCAATAGGCTGTGATTGCCCTAAAAATCACAGATATATACATTTGTGCATTAACCCTTTGACAGATCGGCATCTGCCCAACTGAGACATTCTCAAACGGATTCCAGATGACTTTCCTCAAAGAAATTCGCAAATATTCAAAGTCGGGAAATGTGCAAATATTCCAATTTTGGGAAAAGTGTAACATGGTATCCCACCTTGTTCCACCTGCCCGCTGCAAACTGATACAGGTGTTCACAGGAAGGATACACCTAACTTACAGAAGCAAACTTTAAATCAAGCGGTGAAATCAAAGAGGTGAAATCATACAACGAGTGACAGAGGAGAAAAATCTTGGTGAAAGTGGGTGGTGAAGATGCTGAGAGTTACTACTGATTACAAAGAGTGCTAGACACAAGGATTCGCAGTACTTACTGAAGCACTTAGTAAAAATCTTGAGGAATGAAAATGAAATTTAAGCAAGGTATACTTGTGGCATCTGTGGAGAAAATAAAGAGAAGGTTATTGTTGTTCTTTGATTTTTTTTAAAGGAATGGAGGAGGAGGGAGAAGGGAGGAGGAATGAGAGAAGGAGGAGGGGAGGAGGAGGAAGGGAAGAGGAGGAAGAAGATGAAGAAGAGGAGGAGGAAAGAGGGAAGAGGAATGAGAGGAGAAGAGGAGGGGAGGAGAAGGAGAATACGATGAAGAAGAAGGAGGAGGAGGAGGAGGAGGAAGAGGAGGAGGAGGAGGAGGAGGAGAAGAAGAAGAAGAAGAAGAAGAAGAAGAAGAAGAAGAAGAAGAAGAAGAAGAAGAAGAAGAAGAAGAAGAAGAAGAAGAAGAAGAAGAAGAAGAA